TACATCCTCTATACTTGCTACAGAAGAAAGTGGTACGAATGGTTCATAATGTTAAATATAGAGAACATACAAATAATTTGTTTATAAAATCGAAATTGTTGAAATTTGAAGACTTGGTGAAATTACAGACATTATTATTCACGTGCAAGGCAAAAAATAACACATGTTTGTAATTGTGTTCAGGAAGTGGGGACAGTAGAAGGAAGTTTGACTTTAAGTTTGCTAAGACCACACAAAGGCAAATGTGTCCGACAGTTAAAGGTATAAGAATATGGAATTCTCTTGAAGATAATCTCAAGAGTTGTACAAACATGCACCGTTTTAAAATGTGTTACATACTTAAAAGGATAAATCAGTATGAAGAACATGAAAGTAATTAGGGCTAAATGTGGAAGAAAAAAATTTTCATTGCCATTTAATGCTGTATATGGCTGATTATATTGATTTGTTGTTTAGTTTTGCATTGTTACATAAAGATACATGTTAGAGGGTTTTTTGGGGGGTATTGGCGCCCTCTTGTAAGAATATTTGGATTGCAGATAGGGGGCAGGTGCTAACAAGAATTTATTCTTCTTCCTGCTCCTTTTCACCCATGGGTGCAGTGTCATATTAATGGGAAGGAGGTTCTGTATGTAGGAAAAGAAACACTGTTGAACCATGTGTGAAATAAATAAAAGAAATGAAATGTGAATCTGTAACTTTTATACTTCTATTATTTTGAGTGCTCAGTATGCAATTAACTATTAAAGCGATCTAAAATTAATTACAGTCCCCATACCATTTGCTAGCACAGGTTTTGTAAATCAACATTTCTAGTCCTCACAGAAGCATGGGGCAGAAATTTCTCTACAACACTGTGAGAAGTCATACAGGAAACTGTTACTAAGTTATTGGTGCTTAAGCTGTTTCTACAGGCTACTGAATCATGGGTCAGTTGTACTTCCCGTGACTCCTGTGAAAACAGTCTTTTTCATATGACTGTAGTCTTCTGTTTTCGAGATTCAAAATTAATTGGAAAGTTGATCAACAAGCAGTTTCATGGCCAGGTACACCTTGTTCCCTTGTTATTTCTTGATAAATTAAACAGATTCTGTTGTTGATTCCAAGTGATGAAGTTGCATTTAGTAGCACTGAAATTCTCAGTATGAGGATTAAAGAGTTGGTGATGCAAGTGATGGAGGCCACTGTTGATTTAAAAAAAACCAAAATAAACCTATCAGAGAGAGAGAGAGCAAAAGCTTTTGGAGTGGCCGAATCAACAGCCTGGTATTCTTACATTCCTTGGTAAGGAAAACCCTTCACAACATCTAGCAAAGTCAAGAACTTTCTTGAGGAGATGGGTGTATAATTATCATAATCAACAATCTTCACCAATGAAAAAGGTGCAAACCACTAGTTACACTCAGGACCTAAAGAGTATACTAATGAAGCAAATTCAACACAGCCACACTTGCTTTGTATAAGCTGGCTTGACAAAACCTAAACTCCAGTTGGAGAAAGGGGTATTACTACAGTGGTTATCAACTTTCCCTGTTAAGTTGGGCCTTCTGCTTCAGGATCTTTGCACACTGAAATAAAAACACTCTTCTTCTGGACAAAATGATCCCTGTGACTGTACCCACTCTATTCAGAGTCATTATCAGATGATAATGATAAAAATCTATAAAGACCACAAAAGTATACAAAATATAACAAAAATTGCAACACTTTTGAAAAAAAGGACAAGCTGCATGTTAACCTATTGATGATAGCTTACATGACTGCTGCACATTAGAGCTCTGAAACTTTAACCTGGATACATTTAAACATTAAAGGTTACTGCCTCATAGCTTAATAACAGAGTCATGGAAATGACTCTGCCAGCTCAGAGTGAAATTTATTTTATTGATTGAATGGTCTGATTGATTTTTTTGTCTGTGTTCTAGTAGTTCCAATTCAAGCAGTGTAAGGCAGACTTGGCAGCAGATTAGAACCAAGTATAAAACCATCTATACATTTTCTGTGCCCCTAACTGAATACATGCAAATTCCAGTTACAATGCAATGCACAGTTTGCACAGCTTGAACTTGAAAAGCTCATGTACAACTTGACAACTGCCTATATAAAATGTGTTTTTCCAACATCGACTCTATACAGTGCTTCAAAACATGTGGTAAGTAAGTTACCACAGTGATTTAGCTAGCCACTTCTGTGACATAGCTTGCTAAAGCATTAATCTTGATTTATAGTACATCCTTTAGGAAACCCAGAATACTCTTGTGATCTCTTGTGATCTTCTTGTGCTTCCGATGCTTTTTAATGAACCATTTACAGAAAGCTCAAACGATATCCCAGACATGATTATGAAAAACGGCTCTAAAGGCTTTTATTGTCCACATCGGAAACTCTTACATCACTCTGCTCTCTTTAGCCAAGCTATCAATATTTTTTTCCCTTCTGCTATTCATCATTTTGTGTTTCATTGAGTTTTTTAGACACATGACACATGATTGTATAACCATAGGCAACAGTGGTATTGAAATGTGGTCAGAAATAGACCCGGAATTGGACGATGGATGTAGGGCAGGAAAATGACATGGTAGAAATGTCATTTCCTTTCTTATCCATCTTAACCTTCCTGTGAAAAATAAACGAGACAGATATTAAGTGGCATGTGCATTAATGTTCTTACTTACAAAAGTATTTTTATATCCATTTAATGGCGAATATCTGGATTTGGATTTGAACACTATTACAATAGGAAACAGGAGTCAGTACACCCATGTGAACTATTACTTACATGACTTCAAACAGGGTTTTTTGCCACTCAGCATATCTTTCATTACTCCAATTCTTTTTTCCCCCAATAATTTAATATGCCACGATGTTATAATTTAGACCCAGTCTTCTTTTGCATGGAGAACACTAATGTTGCTCACAGTTTCTGGAAAGAAGTTCTGCCATCCCACAGAAGCATTTTTTAGCTGTAAAAAACAGAAAGGGATCTGTTGTTCTACCTTCTTCTCTAAAGTTTTTATTATTATCATTATTTTTCTGGATTAAAGTCATACAGTTTGGTGAGGTAGTACTTTTTGTCCTATGGAAAGTCTTGTGATGTGTTTGGATTCTTATTTTGTTAGAAGATTCCTTTCCACCCGTGTTTTTTGTTTGTTTGTTTGTTTGTTTTTTAGTATCCACAGGTACTCATGATTCCATTTATATTTACAACTCCCCAACACCTTTTGGAATCCTGCATGTCCATGTCATCACACTCCCACCTGTGAGGTTCATGGTTGGGACTGTACCTTCGCTGTGGTAGTAAGGCCACGTTCACGCCAAACATCCTGGATCCACCTGAGCTAAACAAGTGCCTCTTAGCCTTATGTTACCAAAAAAAGTGTTTCCAGTATTCATCAGGCTTCTTTTTATGTTCATGTCCAAGTATGCACCTAGAAATTATAGTTTGTTTCCGTGACCACAGGTTTTCTTACCCGTGTCCATTTATTTGTTAAAGTCTGTCA